TGTTATTTATTTATGAGTAAGGTGTTACTATCTTGTGTTGATTGTTTACTATGTTTCAATTTTGCATGTTTTTACTTCCAGAATAATTATGTTATTATTCAAACCATCCACAGTCAGTCAAACTTTGGAAGTAAGTATTGATTTAAGACTGTCATGAATTTGGCTTGTATGATTTGTCTAAAAGTGCTTTGGACAATGCAATGGTTGCTACAACATTCATGAGTACTCATAAGGGCTGAGTATTGGATCCAACCCACGCTCACTTGCATCACTTCATGGAATTTATCTCGAGTGATCGTGAGACGGTAATATCATATAAATCTTCAAACCTAGAGATATGAGTTGTTGACTATGAGTTGGTTATTCATTGATTGCACGAAAACGCATTGGTAACTCGATGTCATAAAACGTGCCTTTGTGAATAATTCAACAAGTAGTTAGTACAAGCATATCAGTCGAAGTTTATCTGTTCCTTCTAGAAATAGAAGCGATATCTGGGCCCCTCGATGATTTGGTTTTGACCTATGTACCGGGCCCGGTCAGAACCTAATTGATGTGTTCAATTTAGTTCTATGTCGAAACAAATCAGAGATCGAGAAACAAATGCTGGACAATAAGTAAGACCATGTTCCATGTGTTTGTCCGGCTGATATCATGAGAACAGAGGATTATATGATCACTTATCTTAAATGGCGTATCATCATCTCAGTTCCGAGAGACTTTGAAAGAGCTACGATTGCTAGTCGGATTTTGAAGTCATATTTGCAAATATAGTTATTAGACTTATCCAAGTGGGAGACTGTTGGATATAGTGTCTAAGTCCATAACTTTATTTGGTATGTACTTGACCCGACCCGGCATGGTCCATTTGGGTTGCATGGCATTGCAATACTTGGATAGACTAGATGAGAGAATAAGGCACTTATGATTATTAATATATTATAAGTTCTAATATATTAATAATAGTATTATTTAATTAGTATTGATCAAGTATTAATCTAGTATTAATTTGGTGATCAAAGTGAGACTAATTAAATATATAGGGTTGATTATGACAATCATCAATTCTTTTATGGTGGATTAATGATCCATGGTTTATGGGTTTGGTTATAACCATATGGAGCTCCATGGATAGTCCATGGGAGTTACAAACCCATGGGTCATGAGAAATCAAGAGTCATGACAATTAAGGGCATTCATGTGTAAACCCTAATTGTGACAACACTATAAAAGGAACCCTATGGCTAGCAAAATCGTGACCTAGTGTTACTAGAGAGGGCATAACCGATTTTGAGTGCTAGAAGTATTCTCTCAAGTTATTCCAAGTCTTGTGGTGTTGTGTGAAGCATTTGAGGCACAACATTTGGGGTGCTAGGCTCACAAAGTCTTGAAGGAATCCAAGCAACAACAAGGTATGTATTTCTACTAGTTTTATGTTCTATGTAATCCCCATGCCATGCTAGTTAGGAAATAACCTTGAAAAAGAAATTTGCATGTATATAGAGAAAACATAGATTCAAGGTTATTAGGGTTGCATGTACACTTAGGAAGTGTTAGAATGCTCAAAAACCCATCAAAAAGCTCCATGGACTATCCATGGATTCACATGCATGTCAAGCCCATTCCAAATGAGTATTAGCCCACACTACATAAAATACAAGAGCCCATATTTAATTAGTCACCTTTTTGATCACCAAATTAATTCTAAATTAATTTATGACCAATACTAATTAAATAATATGATTTAATATTAATATATTATAACTTATAATATATTAATAAAGCATAACATACTATTCTCAAAAGATTATCCAAAACAAATTGTTCGGGTGAAGTGCAACCCAAATGGACCATGCCGGGTCGGGTCAAGTACATCTCAAATATTGTTATGGACTTAGACACCTTATCCAACAATATATATAATTATTAATCTTATAATATTATAATAGTATAAGGGTTGAATTTTAAACTTATAAAATTCTAGGGTTTAGAATTTAAATATTTCAAAATTAAAACTATTAATCAAAAATTTAAATTCCAAAATTTGAGGGCAAGTTTTGAAAGTTTTCAAAACATCTTTTAGATCAAATTTGAAAAATAATTAATTAATCATATTATTAATCTTTATCACATAATTTGACCTAATCTATTTTCTTGGCAAGATTCAAATCAAATACAAACTAATCAACTTTATCATATAAAACAAGTAATTATCTTTATTTATGACAATTATCTTTGAATTGCATTAGGATAATCAATACCTTATTGAAAAAATCGAATTTTATCAGTCAAAAACGTTTTTGGTAATTATCCCAATTCAATTCTGGCCAAAATCCCGAAAAATCTGCCACCAGACGACCCGACTCGTCGAGTTGCCCTGACTCGTCGAGTTCATCAGGTAACTCGACGAGTTCATCAGTCAGATGCAAGATTTTTCGACTTTTGAGCTTTGAACAATTTAGCTATGCATCAAGTACAAAAGAAAAACGACCTAGGCTCTGATACCACTGTTGGGTTATGAGCAAAACATCAATCCTATGGTGCACATGCAAACCCTAAAGCTTTGGATCTAGTTTTTCTATTTGTACATGCAATAATAATCCAAAGCTTGCAAACCCTAATCTATCACACAACAAAAATCGAAATCAACATAAATAACTAGTAAGAATGTTACCTTTCAATTGAAGCTTGAAGATCCTTAAGCTTTTGAGAACCTAGCACCTCAAATGTGATGCCTCTAATAGATCACAAACACCAAAGCAATTGGAGAATGCAAGAGAGAGAGAGAGAGAGAGAGAGAGAAGAGGCTCAAAATTGGCTCTAGTAATCCTTCTAGGGTTGTGGGAGCCGAATTTGTGAAGCCTAGGGATTCTATATATAGGTGAGCTGCTAGGGTTTCAGTCAAAACCCTAATTATATTGCTTAGGCCTTATGCAGTCCACATGATCCTTCCAGAAGGCCTCCTATGGACGATTTCTATGTGGGCTTCCCCATAGAATTCGTCCATCCCTACTTTAGGGTTCCTCAACCCATATTGCAATTATCACATAATTACAATATCAGTCCCCTTAATTCAATTAACTTCTTTTGACCACAAAATTAATTCTAAATTAATTCTTGACCAATGTTAATTAAATAATATGATTTCTCCTTCAATATATTATTCATATAATATATTAACAAACCATAATAACCTCTTTCTCCATTATTCATCCAGTCAAGTTGCTTTAGTGAAGGCAACCCAAAAAGACCATGCTACAACTGGGTCAAGTACATACCAAATATAGTTATGGCTTAGACACCTAATCCAACAGGGTCATCAACCACCTCTCAATGAAATTAGTCAAGTTCAAAAGTTGGCCTTTCCCTGTGTGTAGAATTTCTTATTTGTTGTTTTTCTACGATGCTTGACTGGGCATAGTTCAGGGCTTGATAAGGCGAAGTTGGAGGTATATGCAATGATCGCAGGCCTTTAATATGACCTAAATGTTGACTATGTGACTCAGTTATGGGAAGCATTTGGTACAAAAATTTCTCACACCAATGTCACGAATGGTGTATATTGTGTGAGATACTGGAGTTTGATTCTAAAGAATGTTTATAAGAAAGAGGGGATTTTGGTTCCATCGGAGGATGAAAATGCAGAGTTCTCGATATTACAGACTCCAAAACTGGTTACTGATGATCCAGTTCTCTTTCCAAGTGTGGCTCGAATTCCTAATTCTATATTTAGAAGCATTGATCCAGCCAATCCGATTCTTGTTAAGTATTTGCAAACTGTTAACCCGAATGTTCAAGTTGGGGTTTTATTGGAAAAAAGGGTTGAAAGCACATCGAAGGCTGCTAAAGCTTCTAAGAAATCGAAGAAGACCGAACAACCAAAATCTTTTTCTGAACAAGTGGAGAAGGAGGTTACAATACTTGTTCAAGAGAGTGTCGAAAAATAAGTTCCTAAGGAGGTTGTTCCATTGAAGACATGTATTCTCAAAATAACAAAGATGCCTGCTCATCAACCTCGTCATTCTCCTGAAAGGCCAATTGATCACGAAGGTTCTAAGACTGTGTTTTCAATGAAGGGGACAAAGAAGATAAGCAAACCTCAACTTAACAGAAGAGGTGAGCTCATTTGAGAAGTTCCAGCTCCAGTGTCCTCTGCTTCGAAGAAAAGACAAGCTCATGAAATGGTCAAGAAGATCAAGAAGAAGAAGAAACATATGGTAGATCCACTTGATGAAGTGATTGTTGATACTGCTATTGACAGCGAAAGCGAAAGGTCAGACATTCGTTATACTGATACTGGCTTTGAATCACTTCAAAGGGGTTCTCCAGTCAAGTCAAATTTCGAGGAGACTAAAAATCTTGGTGGAAATGTTCACGTATCTAATATGGATACAACCACCAATTTGAGTGATCCTCCACATACTTCCATCCCTAAGAAGGGAACAGTCACACCACCCGAGGTTTCATTAACTGAGTCCGTTACGGAGGAGGTTTGAACCTCAGGCACCCCTATGAACATATATGATATGGATACAAATGTCAGCATGGGTGAAGGGATGATGCACAGCGAAGCCCTTGGTACTTCTTCTATTGAAACTTCTACTATTCATACTTCAGTTATTCTCTCTTCTACCATCGAAACAACACTCATTGATACTTCAACTTTGTTACCACCATTTTCTTCTCCAATACCATCTTTACTTCTTGCTTCTACTATTTCACCAACATTCTACAACACCATGCATCAAACAATCACAACTCTTTTCTCTTCACAATCCATTAAAGGAGAAAAGATAATTCAAGAAGATGAAACTGATGAGGATGATGTCATGGTTTCTTTTGCCGAAATAAAGTTCGATCCTGAAAAAGACAATATTCCTGATCATATGTTCATGTCAGGAAAATAGTTTAAGATTCTCAATCACAAGATTAATTCGTTGTTACAAATTCAAGCTGATACATGAGGACGAAACTCTGTTTCTGGGGTCGAACTGGAGTTTATGCTCAAATCTCAGGAGAATCAGATTAAGCTTGCAATGGAGGAAATTGAGAAACAACATGATGAGAATTTAAAGCATCATGCTCGATATTTTAAATGTGAGGTTACCAAGCTTCGTGGCGTTGCTAAAGCGCGTCATGAGATTTTTATTAAGAAAGTTAAGAAGTTAGAAGAATCTGTCAGTCTAAAAGTGGTCGAGCTTAAGTCTGAAATAACCAAAGAAGTGGCAAAGCTCGAACAGGCTTACTCAACTCTTCATGGCAAAGTTGATGTTATTTCTGATGTCGTGGCGAAGCTTGTGGAATACAACACATCGTATTCAACCAAACTGGATGCAAAAACCGAACAAGATTCGAAAGTGTTCGAAAATATGGAGGAATTTATGAGCAGTTTAAAAGAATCTCTTTCGAAGCTTCATCTTTCTCAACAATATTATGTCTCAGGAATCAATCTCAAAGATGATTTCATCTATTGGATCGAATATCAAGGCGGAGCTTGATCCCATCCTTAAGTTGGTTCTGATATTACCAACTAATGCCCCACCTCCGAATCCTGTTGTGCAAGGGAGAGAAAAAGGATGTGGAGGTGTTGGCCCTTCGAAGATTACTGACAAGGGTGAAATTGTAGGGAAGGAGATGTCAACTCAAATTCCTACATCACTTCCACTCTCGTTAACAATTACTTCTACAACTACAGCATCGAGACCAATAATAAAAGGAATTGTTATTGGAGAAAGTGTTGGAAGCTCAAGTTCAAGTTTGAAACCACCTCTTTCGAAAGATGATAAAGGAGATAAGGGGAAAGGTATTGAGAAAGTTATTTCTGAATAAGAGAAGAAGAAGAATTTGGAGATGGAAATTGAAAGGCAACGATAGATTAACAACATTCTGAGGCAACGGAAAAATGATCCACCAGGTTTAGAAAAAGGTGATCCAAGCAAACATTGGTGCTATGAAATGATTGAACAAGTTATCTCTTTGGGGAAAATGCATGATTTTGGAAAAGTTTTGAAGAAGAGTTATGAGATTGAAAACTTTGACTTTAATCAACTGGATTTTCTAATAAATCACATGATGTTTGTTTCTGCACAGTACAAATTAGTGGATCAATTCGATGATAAATATGAATACAAGAGACTAAAAATGAGATTTCATGCAGTCTTGGGGAAGAAAGAAGAGGAAGTATGGTCTTCAGTTAAGGTTTTCAAAGTGATGAATATTTAAAGAGAGAGTTTGTTCGAAGGTTTACTGCAGAATTTTCGCTATTATGTGGTCAGAGCGAATAATGTAGTATGTGACTTATCTATTGCTGACTTCCCTCTGATGAACTTGAATTACCTGATCAATGTGAAGAAGATTTTGAGTACGGTTGATGTTTCTAAGCTTCAAGTCAACAACAAAGATGATTTTCTTAGAGGATTTGCTCATATCATAGACAACAACTTTGATTGCTTAGCGGTTATTGATATCGATCTAGCAATGGATGTCAATTGGACTTCGAAGGTTCCTTAGTCAATGCTGAAAGGGAAGATTGATCTCAAAGATTATGTTGATGGGGAAATTGTGTATAAACCTTTGGGAGTTGTTTTTCCAGGAAATAGCCAAAATGGGAAGATGACAAAGTTTTTGTTTCAAGTTTGTGATTTAGAGAGGTACATGAACTCTCAATATACAAGCCTTTTGGTTCGACTCAACAATTGCAAACGAACTCTGCATTTGATAAGGCTGAAATTCGAAAGACAATTATTTGGTATATGGAGGTTCGCAGAGTACTTCACCAGACCATGAAGATGATGGCATGAGTTCGACACTTCTAACTAAGGTGGAGATTGTTAGGGCCGAAATGTCTAGTGAGGTTTCGAAGTACTTTTTTGTCTTTATAGTGTCGAAGTCTAGGACTTCGCTATGTATGTATCTTGTAAGGCAATGTTAGATGTCGAAGCTTAAAAGTCTAGTCCTTACATATGTTTTGTGTGTCTGTATCACCCTATAAATAGGGTTAGTATAGAAGTCGAGAGTAGCTCTTGGGCACTTTGTTCGTTTCTCTCTTGTGTACATGTATACTCATTCAACCGAAATCAATGAGCCAAACACAACTTATTTACATTTGTGTTCTTAACGCTTTCTGTTCTTGATTTTGTACTTAATACTCGATTCAAACACACTACAAAGTAAGGTAGAGAAAGAGTAACAAAGAGATAGACAGGGTAAAGAAAAGACAAAGTTAGAGACAGACTTTGAGACATAGTTAGAGTATGTACATAGTATGAGAAGAGCCTGAGAAGTGGCTAAGCGAAGAGTATGAGAAACGGAGTAGATAACAGATAAAGAGATAGATAAAATGACAAAGAGTATATAGATGAGGTTATAAAAAGAAGAGATAGATAAGAAGAGAAAAGATAGTAGTGTATGTTATGAAAGAATGAGTAGAGGACAGAGTATGAGAAAGAGAAAGAAAGATGAAACACAAGAAAAGTAGAAAGATAACTCACCAAAAACATAGTGTCTGATGTTGCATAGATTTTATGTTTTGTGGGTTCAGGTAGTAGCAGTTGTGGTACTAGAAGAAAAGATAGGACCACAAGTAACATTTAGATAGTAGGTTGTTATTTATGTATTTTCCTTGTTGTTCTAATATATATGTATATATTTTACTGTAAATCTGTGATTTGTCGTAGGATGTAAAGGTTTTAATTAGAGTAGAATTCAGCACTTGTTACATAAAACTCAAATATATCACTTAGATTAGATGTTAGAATATCCAGGTCGTTACAGTAATAATTGTAAATAGGTCGTTTGAAAGGGAAAGATAAGGTGATAGGCAAAGAGATAAATTTCCCAAAAATTATCCACCTTTAACAAGGTGAGTGCATAGTTACTTTCATCTTACACATGGATATAAAAGTATTTAAATGTTAAATGTTATATGCGTTTATTATCTGTACTTATGATATTTGTGTTAGATAAAGTAGCATGACATAATTACGCTTAATTAAATCATATATTGTTGAAATAATGATCTATTTTACTATCATTCCTATATTATATTAGGCGGGTAAGGGTTATGAAGGATAAAATAGTGGTCTGTGGCCACGACCAAAATTTGTACCATTGTAGTACTGTGACAAGTCATTTAGAAAAGTATAGATGACGACCACTGACTATTCTAGACAGTCTTATGGAACATTGATGGACTCATAATCTATAGGTGTTAGCGAATTTTGCGTTCATTCAGGTACTCTATCCCACTTATGGTTTCCTTTATTGAAATATATTGCTTAGTAATCCCCGAAGTAGTATTGTATACTCATTGATTAAAGAGATCTATTAAGATAAGTCCTAGAGATCATCATTTTAGGATCAGTGTGCGAGAATAACATGAATATGTAAAGTTATTTGGTGTGAAATATATATTTAACAGATTTAATTATTTTGCTTAAACCCTTAGTAAGAGGACCAACAAGATTCTCATTTGATGATACACGATTCACCAGGAGTTTGCCTTTTTCAACTTGATGTTGGATATAATGGTATTTTCTTTCGATTTGCCTTCATCTCCTATGATCCTTTGGTTCTTTAGTCAAATAAATCGCACATTCATTGTCGTAGAAAATCTCCATGTGCTATTGGATTGATGGAACAACTCCAAGATCTCCAATGAAATTCTTTAACCATGTTGCTTCCTTTGCGACCTATCTTGTTGCGGTGTACTCTGATTCAGAAGTAGAATCAACCACTGTTTGATGCTTGTAACTCTTCCAAGTTACTACTCCACCATTCAATAGGAATACCCAACCAGATTATGAATAACTGTTATCCCGATCCGCTTGGAAGCTGGCATCACTATAACCACTCACTTTAAGTTCATCATTGCCACCGAAAACTAAGAATATATCTTTTGTTTTCCACAAATACTTAAGTATGTTCTTCAATGTTGTTCAATGAGTTTCACCAGGATTTCCCTTAAATATGCTAACCATGCTCAAAGCATAAGCCACATCAGGGCGAGTATACGTCATAGTATGCATGATTGATCCTATAGACAAATCCCCTTTCTTGAAATTCTCAACATCGAACCGTTTCAATATTTTATCCAAGTAAGTACTCTGGCTAAGCCCTAACAAACATCTTTGTCTATATCTATGAATTCTTATTACAAGAATGTATATTGTCTCACCTAGATCATTCATAGCGAAACATTTTCCAAGCTAATACTTCACCTCTTACAAAGTTGGAACATTGTTTCCTCTAAGGAGTATGTCATCAACATACAAAACTAGAAAGGTCACTACTGATGGGTTTTGAGCATTCTAACACTCCTATGGTGTACATGCAACCCTAGAAACCTTAGATCTATGTTTTACTAAGATACATGTAAATTTGCTTTTCCAAGGTTCATAACCTAACTAGCATGGCATGGGGAACTTTGAAACATAAGAAGCTAGTAGAGTTACATACCTTTTAGTAGTGGTTGATTGCTTGGAGTTTGAGAGCCTAGAACCAATAATGTGGATGCCTCAAATGGAAGTCACAAATCACCACAAACCTTGGAAACTTGAGAGAATAGTAGAATACTTCTAGAAATCGGCCCTCTTAGTTCTCACACAAAAAACTAGTGCAATTTCAAGTGCCAAGGACTCCTTTATATAGTGTGGTGGATTAGGGTTACATCCATGTAAACCCTAATACTCATGACTTTTTATTTCCATGAGATCCATGGGTTAAAGATCCATGGACTATCCATGGACTTACCATGCAAGCCTAGCCCATTCTAAATAAGCATTATCCCACACTATATAAATACAAGAGTCCATATTTAATTAGTCATACTTTTGATCACCAAATTAATTCTAAATTAATTTTAGATCAATACTAATTAAATAATATGATTTCATATTAATATATTAGAACTTATAATATATTAATAAATCATAACTTATACTATTCTCAAAAGATTATCCATATAAATTGTTCGGGTGAAGTGCAACCCAAATGGACCATATCGGGTCGGGTCAAGTACATCTCAAATATAGTTATGGACTTAGACACCTTATCCAACAACTACTCCCAGTAGCTTTGACATACACGCAAGACTCATAATTACTTTTTGAAAATCCAAACTCTTTGACCTTTTATGGAAGAAAAGAATCCAACTACGAGATGCTTGCTTAAGTCCATAAATAGACTTCTCAAGATTGCACACTTTGTTAAGGAATTTGACATGTTCAAAACCTTTTTGGCTGAGCCATGTAAACATCCTCAGTCAGTTTCCTATTAAGGAAAACAGTTTTAACATCCATTTTGTCATACTTCATAATCATGAAAAGAAGTTATGGCCTACCCTAATTGACTTGATCCTCGCAACTGGCGAAAAGGTCTCATGATAGTCAACCCCTTCACAACCAGCCTTGCCTTAAACATTTTTACATTACCATCTGTGTCTGTCTTCTTCTTGAAGATCCATTTACAACCTACTTCCTTTCGACCAGGCGTATGATCA